GAAGAGCTGGAGTGCAAAGCCCGCACCAGGACAAGTACGCTGATCGCCCCCTGGGAGGACGACGGCCCCACATGGCCTGCTCCAAGGCAGACGTCCATCCTTCCTTGACCTTGTTGGTGAAAGACTGAAAAGGGCCAAGCCACCTAAACAAAGCCACCACTAAAGTCTGTAAAAGAAGACGCCGCAGGGCCACGCCTTTGACTTCCCTGCGAACTCGCCACGCTCGGCGCACAAGAACCGTCGTGAGCTCCTCAGCCGTGTTGCAACGCTTGCGTGAACCCAACAGGTACTGGACTCCAAGCAAAGGGAACTCCGTGAGAACCTCTCCCAACTCAGGGTGGTGACGAAGAGCCGCCCTGCATTCAGTCGTGGTAGAAAAGGAGGCCGCCTTGCCTGGGTGAGGTTGCAGCCCCGCCGCTTTGTCCACGACTGCTCCCGCCTCCACTGCCCGCTGAAGTTCCAAAGGGGCCTCCCGCGCCTGCTTTGCGGACCACAGAGCGCGGTCGTCCAAGTAAAGGGCCATTCCTAACGCCGGCACTTCCTTGCGGACATGGCCAAGCCAGATCACCATGACTCCATTGAGAAGTCCCGGTGACAATGGACAGCCCTGCAACAAGCCGGTGCTTGGCCTGATGGACTCCTCCTCCCAATGGCCTCCATACGTCACCCAGCGCTGCTGTTCTGAGTAGAAAGCCTTGAGCAATCGCACAATGGCCTCCGGGGCTCCTAGAAAGCGCCATGCTCGCAGCGCGGCTTCAGGCGACACGCTGTCGAAGCACCTCCGAACGTCCGCCTTACAGCCCGTGACCGCCGGCCTGGTCTCCAGCGTGTCACCCAGCAAGTCGTGCGCCTCCGCCATGCCTCTGCCAGGGATCCCGCCCGTAAGCTCCTCAGGAGCCCAAGTCTGCACCCAGCTGCGGAGCTTCTGCGAAGCGGCCCCCGCGCAAGCGCGCCACAGCACCGACGCCAGACTAATGGGCCGATACTCTCCTCCTCCTTTGGGCTGTAGGACAACCCGAACGGCCAGCCACCCACGAGGCAACTGACCTTCGCGCAGTGAGCAGTTCCACAACGCCGCCACCTCGTCGAAGAAACCCGCAGGAAGTAACAACAGAGAACTGGGTGCCCAAGCGTCCGCGCCACTGGCCTTCCGCTTAGACAGTTGAAGTCGTCTTCTCACGTCGTCGCCCACCAACTGCACCGTGTCGTCCGGTAGAGGCGCTCTATCCGGCCCAAGGTGCGTGCAAGCGTCCTCCATGAGCCGAATGTCAGGCACCTCCTGCGTCCACTGCCTCCTCCAGATGGCCGCCTCTTCAGCAAGTCTCTGTGCCGGGTGAGGACTGGAAGTCAGGTCCTTCGCCACAGGGCCCGAGTCCCAAGTCTGCTTGATCCACCTCTCCAGCTTGGACTTATCCTCCGCCACGTCTGCTCGCCACTTGTTCAAGCGAGCCTTGGACGCCTCTTCACTTAGCGTCTCCGCTTCCTTGTGGGCCAAACTCTCGACATCCGCCAACGCGAGGTCCCTTGAGAAACCCAGGTCCTGTACACTGCAGCGGACTCTGGTCGCGAGCTGCTCTGTCGGGCGTTGTCGAAGTTCAGCCATGCGACGACAAAGTCTTCGAAGCTGACGCTCGCGAAGACTCTGTATCGTAGGTGCCTTCGTAGACGGCGGGCTGGCAGGGGTTCTCGGTTGCACCTGTTCGCTCCGCCGCGCTCCTCTGCCACTCGCGCCTATTGTAAGCGCGTCCTCCGCCTTGTCGCTGAGCCGCTCCCAAGCAGCAGAGACTTGGCCCAGCTGCAGCTGTTCGTGAAAGTACTGCTGCTCCCCACTCCACAGTGCTGTCCACTCCGCTTCGCTCACTTCCTCCTGCGCCAGCAGCCTTCGCGGGGCCGGAGCACGTTTGACGCCACGACTGCCTGCAACCCCCTCCACGGCCAGCGTGTAGGTCACGTAGTCGTGGTCCGCTGGCCCCATGTCCTGAAGTTGCCGTGTTGGGTACAAGTCTGGGGTCACTAAAGCGTAGTCGATGACCCTGCCACTGTACGTATGCGACTGCCATCCACGACGAGTGCCCTTCTGAACTGCGTCTCCTAAAAGCAGGGTGTCAGCAGAATGCCACCTGCCTACCGCCGTAGCGGCAGCGATGGGCCATTGATGAGCTTCCAAGTTGAAGTCACCGATGATCATGGCCGCTTCGCCCGTTCCCGCCAGCCACAACATGATCTTGTCCACTGCGTCCGAAGCTGCTTGCTGCTGCCCGGAATGCAGGTAGACATTGACGATCAAAAAGGGTCTTTGTCCGGGTCTGTGAGTTTTGATGGCTTGCCCACGTCCTGGCTCCACCACTCCATCAGGAATAGTGATCGCCTCTGTCGGCAATCTTGAGAAGATGACCGTGCCCGCACGTGGCTTGTGCTGAGCATCAGTAGCTTGACTGCCCGGGTGAAGGACGTAGCCAGCTGTCCTAGCCGATCCCCTAACAGCCCCCCAGCCGTCACCACTGATTTTGGTCTCCTGAACCGCCACAACGTCCACCTCCCTTGCAACCGCCCAGTCCATGACAGAACTCATGCGCCCACCTAAACCATTGACATTGACTGTCCCCACCACAAGCTCATCGCGGGCCTTCATGGCGCCGGAATGGCTCCCAACTTGAGCTCCTCCCAGAGCGTGCGTGCTGCGACCTGCCGCCGGTGCAACTTGTCATGCAGAAGCGGTTGAAGCGCAGCTCTGTAGCCTTGCCGGTGCGACGACCAGTGCACGCCTCCAGAGCACTTGGTCCGGCTCCGGTGAGAGAACAGCCGCAAGCACTTTTCGCACAGCATCTTGATCTTGGGCCCCTCAGGCCACACGATCCACTTGAACACATGCGACTGCTCAGGGGGAGCCTCCGCCGCGGGTGCCTGTGTGCTGCTCCTCGCCTCCTCCGTGGGCTTCGCCGCGACACGGTCTATGGTGTCAAGGACTGTGCGCAGCCCGCGCTTTGCCTCCTCCGTAGTGCTCTCCTCCGCCAAAAGCCTCCGAAAGCGCTGCAGCATCTTCTGCCGCTTGCCCACCTTGACCGGGAGTGGCTCGCATGGCGCCTTGCGAAGCGCCCCCAACTGTCCCAGTCTCGCGCACTTGCGACACAGCAGCCTCGTGACAACGCCGTCGTGCCCTTGCGACTCCACCCCCGGCACCACGACATGAACCAGGTCGTGGTGGGCAACCAATCCTTGCTTCATGAGCAGAAGCTGCTTGGATCTGGCTGCTGCCATGCATGCCTGCGTCGCCCGCTTTGGCTTGCCCTGTTTGTAGTTGTAAAACTCAGCAGCCTTGACTCCCGGGTGAGCCTCCTCACGGTGCTTCCTCCTCACACACGTGTATATGTGCACAGTTGCAGATATATGGCTAGCCTAGGTATGTACATAAACTACCTGCTGTGCAAGCAGAGAAGTTAAAAGCTACAACAACAGTACGTACCAGAGTGGGAAGACAAGATACCGGCATACCTTTACACGAATATATATATATATATATATGTGTATATATATTTATATGTATATGTATATGTATATCCTTATATACATATATGTATATAGATATGTGTGCGCATGCATGTATGTACCTATGCATGTGTATCTAAACATATGTGTGTATGTCAAGGGTAAGTCTGTGTGGTCCAAAATGAAGAGAAGTGTCAAGGTCATAAACCAGTAGAATCGGCAGAATACAGTATCCGCATAAGGTCATTTCGAATAACAGATTGTCAGAATCAAAGAAGTCGTGTGATAGATTGTCGGATGCAACATAGCCTCATGTGATGGAAAAAACTATATGTGGATAGGCATATTTGTATAAATCAACAACACCTCCGTGGCTTTCGGGCAAATGTTTCTTCCTGGCGCTTCACACACATGTGACATACATATATGTCTGCTCGCAGCAAGCACGGGAAGGCTCTTGTGGCTTACACCTGCCGCTTAGCAGAAAACGACAAGAACAAGGCTCGAGGGGGGCAGGGCAGATCCCAAGTGTGCACCGTCTGCTTCACCGATTTAGCACAAAGCATCTAGACTATCCTTCGTACAATACCAAATCAACGAACACAGGTCATATAGCCACACACATAACTTCTACGCTGTATCTTGAAAACCAACAGACACAATAGCACAAAAATGAACACAACATGTAGTTTAAGTTAGGTATCCTACGAACCAACAGTATATATCACCAGCGACATGAGGCATGGCTTGGGAATACATACACTTACACGCCACAACTCTCCCAGACCCAGACACAACGTATCAAATCCAACGCCCTGTATTCGTGTGTACATTTCTATGTATATGTATGAGTAGACGTATATGTACATGATAAGAGATAACATGACAAAATATGAGGAAATATGTTTAAAATAGAATACAACATAATGCAATATAAGGGAAGATAGCAAATAAGTTTTAATATATTATATTACTATATATAACATAATAATAAGATACTGTGTGTTTGCTCCTGCTTGGTTCGGTCGTGCTAGGACTTGCACGACGACTTCACTGCAGATGATAAACACCCCCCCCCCCCACCGCCTCCCGCAATCTTGTCTGTTTTACGTGTATGGCACTATTCTCGCATGCTTGCCCATTGCAGATTGCCGGGGTCTGAAACAAAAGCGATAAAGAAAGATACACACATATCTATCTATCTATCTATCTATCTATCTATTTATCTTTCTATCTATTTATCTTTCTATCAATTTATCTATCTATCCATCTATCTGTTCATCTGTCTACCTATAGAAGATAGAAATGCGTGATGACAGCGAGTTGTAATATGTTGGAGTGCATGACATAAGTCGACCTGTAACGGGAGTATATCCATGTTGGCGTGAATAGAGTACGCTACACAAGATATAGCGTGCTGTATCCATACCTGTCATCTCCAGTTATGTACGTTTCAATCTTTTGGATAATGAAGACTATATTATAGACATATGCGCGCGGGAAAGCAATGCCGCAGGGGGAATAGGCAAAGGAAGTAAAGGAACCAACAAAAACAAGTCAAAACATCAAAGACACGAAAGAAGCCATTCCGCAGTGCTCTTAGATTTGGCGCACTGGTGGGTAGGTGGGTAGGTGGGCAGACAGACAGAAGGACAGACAGACAGACAGACAATACGTACCTTTCCAGATATATATATATATATATATTTGTATTTATCTATTTATTCATTTATTGGTTTATTTTTTTATTTGTATCTATTTATAAATATATATATATATATACTTTTTTATGTATTTATTTATTTATTTAATTGTTTATTTATATATATATATATATACATCTCTGTGACGTTTAGCTAAGGCATGCTCCGTGAACGCCTCGTCGTCATCGCAGACCAAGCTTCGCTTGAAGTCCCAGGTCACCGGATTCCCGGGACCATCCCTCTTTGCTTGTTCCCCCGAGCCTCGGCTTGGGTTAGAGTTCTGGGGCTCTTGTTTGTGTCTAAAGCTTAGGACCCTCTTTTCCCTCAGCTGTTCAGGAATTAGGGCTTAGGGTTTCAGGCTGTTCTGGGAGGCCCTCCCTTTTCTAAAACCCAAACCCTCTTTAAGCGCTACATCCGAAATCCGAAGCTTAACAGAGTGTCTTCAAGCAGTAGCCCAGGAGCGGCCGTTGCAAATGGCAAGGCGGAAGGAGAGAGAGCACTCGGCCAAGTCTTGAGTGTCGCTCTCGCATTTCAACTGTACAAAGCCTTCTCCAGCGGCCTGGCGGAACGATGTTCGATCCTAAGCTGCTCTTGAAGCTGCCCTTTGGCCTCGAGTTTTCTTAAAAAAACTAAAACTCCACCAAAAACAGCGTAAATAATGCAAAAAGAAGGGTGTTCCCCAAATAAATCGCCTCCTGGGATCTTTGGGATACATGACCATCTTGAAGCTCAGCTCCGAGCGGCTTGGACTCATCACCTTGAACTCCGGCGAGACCAAGACCTTCGCCTTGTCGTTGAGCTTGTTGGCATCCACCACCCAGTAGACCTAGGTTCCCCAGTAGCCCCTTAATAAGGGTACCCGTTTTTCCTAGTATTCGGTTTCAATAAGGGAGCCCAAGAAGGAAAAGGGCAAAAGGGTACTACTGGGGAACCTAGAGACGTGCTCCATGTTCGGTGACCGGCCGATCTTCTGGGGCTGATGCAACATGTCCACCCCAAGCCCATCCCAGAACTTGTCGATGTCAGAGAGTGCAGGCGTAACTTCCGAGATCTCGTCGCACTCCGGGAGCAAGTCTTCCTTGCGGAGTTTGACGACCTCCTGTTGCGGAACTTCCTCACCTGCCTCTGGAAAAAAGCTGTGCATGGGCACAACTGGCGACGTGAATGGAAGCTCAGGCGCCGGGCTTTCCCCCGACCAGTTCGGAGAAGACATGGCGTGCATCTGCCAGCCGAGATTCTCGGGGCTCATGGAGTTCACGGGGCTGATGTGCATGGGCACCAGGTAGGGCTGGGAACTGCCAAAGCCACCATCTGAAGCCATACATGGAGGAGGGTGCAAGACCTTGGGTCGTGTTGTCGTGGGGCCCTGCTGACCAGAACAGACACAAAACCCTAGGCCCTAGGCGGCGTGCAAGCACTGAGGAGCGGACGAACACCGCTGTACCTGGTGCCGGATGCATCACCTCACCTGTCTGGACTCCAACCTGTCCTTCCCATGCTCCATGCACGAAATTCGTCATCTCGTTCCCTTGGCTTCCCTGGCCATAGCTTGCATCGTAGTTCAACTCGTTCATCTCAAGTTGTCCCTCAACGTCCAAGCCTCCCTCAACGGGGTACATCGGCCATGTCGTGCCGTGGCCGTCTCCATTCTCAAAGACGTCGTGTGTGCGGTGACGGCAAAGCATATCCGGGCATGGCACGGTGTTCTCGATTTCCGTCCATGGATTCCTCGGTTCTTGTCGTAGCGAATGCGCTGCTTTGAGACGTGCAACAGAAGAACCGATCCAGCAGGGTAACCTACACTAAGCTTGTTAAGAATAGCCCGAGAGCTTTGAGAGGAGTCAGGCCTCGCCCAAAAAAGCCGGAAACTCGAAATCCGGAGCCCTGGGCCTAGGACCCTAGACCCTGCAACCTGCAGACCCCACATCCCCAAAACCCTAAACCCCCTGAAGCCCAAAACCCCACAGCTCTTGAATCCTGAACCCTACATCCCCCCTAAACCCTAAACCCTAAACCCTAAACCCTGAACCCTAAACCCTAAACCCTAAACCTAAACCCTAAACCCTAAGGATTCAAGCCCAGCTTCGTGAAGTCCGGGAGCTTCAAGCCGAAGTCAGGAAGCTTCCTGGGCTCTTGGCTTCAGAATCGAAGCCCTAAGCCCTAAAACGGTTTAGGATTTAGGGTTTAGGGTTTAGGGTTTAGGGTTTAGGATTTAGGGTTTAGGGAAGCCCTAAGTCGGTTTAGGGCTTTTTTTGAATGCACTAGCCCTTTCTCTCCCGCATGAGGTCAAGAGGCTCGCTCAGTTCGAGCGTGCGGTTTAGGGTTTAGGGTATAGGGTTTAGGGTTTAGGGTTACTATGCTCCTCCTCTTTCTCTGAAAACAACAGTCATGATGACAGAAAAGAGATAGTGGCAGCAATAACATACATGCAGATCGCCCGAAGAAGGTCATAGTAGCCAGAATAAAGATCATCATCATCCCTAAACCCTAAACCCTAAACCCTAAACCCTAAACCCTAAGCATCATCTTTGCTTATTCCGACGGAGTCTCAGTGACTCCACGGGTTCCACACAAGGCTCCGCCTCGGATTCGGGCTCGCGGTCGGTGTCCACGTCATGAACCTGCAGACGAGTTGAGGGCGACTTAAATTAGGGTTTAGGGTTTAGGGTTTAGGGTCTAGGGTTTAGGGTTTAGGGGGGTCTGGGGGTTTGGGGGATTAAGGGGCTTGAGGGTCTTAAGGTGTAGCGACTCTCTGCAACTCTGAGTCTTGCTGGAAATAATCGGGGTGCAGGGTTTAGGGTTGATCATACTAACGGTTACTAGCGACGTTGCTTAGTCTTGCTATAAAAGTCGTGTTAATCATCACTCCTCTTCCTGTGAGTATTTACCGTTGGGGTTTGTGCCATGATTTCTGGTGCAGGCTGGGGTTTGAGGGTTTAGGCTTTCTCATCACTAATCAGGCTTTATCATCAATACTATTGTTGGTATTGTTAACACGACTTTTATAGCAAGAATAAGCAACGTCGTTAGTAACCGTTAGTATGAACAGCAACAATGACAGTGGCAAGATCGATGATAAGAAAAGAACAAATGTAGCAATCACAACAACAATAACAATGAAAATAGTTGCGCACTACAGAACTCTATGTCACGTGTGATATCATATGACACACACATATATATATATATATATACATGTAGAATCATGTAGATCTGCATGTGTGTATGCGGGTATACACATGCATATATAGATAAATATGAATATGAAAACAAATACAAATATTAATCTGAATAACAACTTCGGTGTGTGTACATACATACATATATAGATATATTTTTTTATTTTTTGTATATTATTGAGCTTAGTTTTGTATATACCTGAATATTTACGTACAAACACTCTGATTATCTTACCTAAACCCTCAGCCCAACCTGCGGGGGGGCGGTGCGTCCCCGCTTGAGCTCCTCGGGCTCTGGTGGGGCCGGAATATGGATGAAAGTGTTTTTGATGAACTCGTCGTTGAGCTCGTAAGTGCAGCCTTCCGTCCTCATCAAGGATGCAACTTGCTGACAACTGCCTCGCTCTTGAAAGCTGATTCATTCAAGGCGCGGTTGATGAACCATGTCGGATGGCGGACAGTGAACTATGCAATCTACTTTCTGGGCCAGAGAGCTGCAAGGGTGTGTCATCATCCGAATCCTCATGGGCTACACCCCAGACAGTGCAAGCAAAAAAAAGAAGCATGAGTGTATTCTACCATACTACTGGACTGAAGAGGAGCCCTAGCTCCATTCCTCCATTCCAACACGCACGAACGACAAGTCGGCGCCTCCAGCATCTTCAGTAGGCGCTGATTCTTCGTGGTCTGTCAAATCTTCGGATTAGGGCTTAAGAGGGTTGTTCGGGTCAGGGTTCGAATCGAGTCTACTCGGCATTGCGCAGGAACGGCGGAATTCGTGCGGCAACAATGCAGATCATCAGGAGGCCTGTACACGAGAAAGACAGTCTGCACAAGGGAGGCATTTCGATTGCCCAGTCGAACGCAGCCCGATCCATGGCAAGTCGGTTATTTTCAATCGTGCCAGGATGACCCCCTCGGTCCACTCTTGAAACGTCTCTCGATCCTGTGCTCAAGTCATGGTCCCTTGAACAGTACACTGATTGCCATCGAGTCTTTCAGCGTCCTTCTTCTTCATGTTCGCCTCGAGGCAGTATGGGCTTGGCCGACGTGGCTTCGCAAAGCAAAAGAAGCATCGAGCCATACAGCACGCAGAAGGCCTCAACATCAGCGCTCGTGTCAATGACGGTCCGGCCTAAGCTGATGCAACAATCCGATCCAAGCCATCCTAAACCCTAAACCCTAAACCCTAAACCCTAAACCCTAAACCCTAAACCCCGAAACCCTAATCCCCACAGTCGGAGCTTCAGGTCCCGGGCCGAAGATGTCGATGGTCGCGTGGATTTTGCGCCGCTCCTCCCTGCGGCGCCGCTCCTGGCGAGCAGATCAAAAGGCTGGGCCCAAGTTTAGGGTTTAGGGTTTAGGGTTTAGGGTTTAGGGTTTAGGGTTAGGCTGGGCCCAAGGCCCACAAGAAGAAACGGAAATCTCCTCATCTTGCCCCTTGGCTTTGGCCTGATCAGAAAGGAAAAGAGGAAACAATTCTAACTTCTGCCTCCTTATTATCGTAGAGTATAGTATATGTTACAGTATAGTATTAGTACATATAGTACAGTACGGTAGAGTATAGTATGGTATATATAAGTCATTATAAGTGCTCAAAGTCGCGAGCTCTGAGCCGGCACCTCCTCCCTCTGCTTCTCGGAGAGCCAGGGGTTCGCCGCCTCGGAGTACCAGTCCGTCGCGTCGTCGTAGACCTGACGAGACAGGGGGGGCTCTCCTTGAAGCTGAGAGCCGGTGTAAAGGTCGGAAAAGCACTCTTTGGAGGCCTTGGTCCTTCGCTTCGCATCCCGGTCGTAGCTTAGGAGCCTGTCCTGGATCCGTGGTTGTTCGGTGCCCCTGTTCCACAAAAATGATGATAGCATTGTTATATATATATATAGTGACACAACCTTGTATGGTGAGCACAAGATGGAAGATACCTTTCCTTGGTGGCAACCGCTCGCTGGAACGAGGCATTGTAGCGTTCGTCGTCATCACCAGCTGGCCTGCGGCTAACTCGCAAAAAGTCGAAAACCTTTTGAAAGCCGTGGAGCAGGCCTGCCATCCACATCTATCCGACCTCGCTCATCGCCTCTCTTGATGCCGGTCCGGCGGTCTCCAACCTGCTCGACACGCACAGCTCGTCCGACTGGCGGAAAGCCTCCCGCCTCCAAAGGGTTGCCACAGAAGAGGCAAGGACCCCAGCCTCGCTTTGAACAAGGCCCGAGGCGCTCGCAAGGTCTCAGTCTCGGCTCTGCGGAAGAGAGGCCTTCCTGCTCGGTGATCACCTGGAGCGCAAGGCTGCAAGGACATGCAAGATGGAGCATCCCTTCGCCCTCCACTCCGGGCCTTTCCACAGTTGAGACAGTTCGTCAGGACCTTTCTTCTAGCTCGCAGCGACGGCCCAACGCTGGCAGAGCATCCGAGAGGCCGGCGTTGTGCCGGCCGGAAGAAGCGTCCACGACCATCAGGCGCTTATCTCCCTGAAGGCCCAGCATCGCCCCACAGAGACACGAGTCTCTGAGACCCTGTGCAGCCCACCCGCCTCGCGGCGAGGCAGGAAGGGCATGTCCATGGTAGGCAGCGCTCTCTGCTTCTCACCTCATGCCAACAATGCCTCAAGTGCAAGTGCCAGGATTGTATCGAACGATGAGTGCTGGCCTTTGCCACTCTTGCCCTTCCCACGGTCCTGCAAAATTTGAAGCCAAGCGAAACCGCCTGCTGCACCGGTCATCGCCGGACCCTGACCTCATCTTTGTCTCCTCGGCCTCTTCCACCCTGACACCAAAATACGCATCAGAACTCGACCACCTCAGCGAACTTCCTCGGACCTTCGGGCCGCCCTTGCCATCCTTGGACTTTCCTTTGGCCTGCCAGTCACAGGACCGTTGACGTCAACCGTAGCTCCCGAAAAACGGCCCAGCATGGCCTCTCCCCCGGCCGCACCTGGCCATGCGACACCAGGCAAGTTCAATCCACTGGAGCAACTAGAGCGTGCCAAAGTTCCAGAAAAAAGGCCAGTAGCAATCTGAGAAGTATTCCAGCTGTTGATTCATCTGCCGAAACTCCTCAAGACCCCCCGTGCCTTGAGGGTTTGACTGAAGCAAAGCGATCTGCGCTTTCCGCCTCTGCTGGGCAAGAGAGCATCTAGAAGACCTGAACTAATGAGTGCATGCCTGGGGCTTTAGGACTTCACGTGGTCTTGTACCAAGTCCCGTAGGGTTTGGATAGGCTCATGCGCCAAGGCATACGTACTTTCAACCATACCAAGGATTCCTCTCCCTTGATTTCGCATAGACTTGGGCTCTCGGGGGACGTCGGGTGCCCGCAGCGCGAGACTCAGGACGCTGCTCGAACAGCGCCTCCACAAAGCTATCCGCCTGCAAGAGGCAGCACACATGGGCAAACTACGACTGTTGGCTCGAAACTACTAAGCGGATACACCCCGAAATACGGTATAACGGTATAACCGCACCGCTTCCCTCAAAATCCCTTTCGGGTCCTAACTTCAAGTACCTAGACCTCAAACGGAAGCTGCGGAGAAAAGGAGCGAGCGCCAAAGCATGCCCGGAGCTGCATGCAGGGCATCCCTGCAAAAACTACAAGCATCCATCGGAGTCCAGGGGGTTACGTTAGGGCTTCAGGGTTTTGGATTCAGGGTTTAAGGATTTAGGATTCAGGGTTTAAGGCTTCAGGGTTTAGGGTTCAAGGGTTTAGGGAGGGTTTAGGGTTTGGGGTTTAGGCTATTTAGGGTTTAGGTTTACACTCGCAGCCTAAACCCCTGGAAGCCTTGTGCTTGGCGCTCTCCTCCGTCACGAAAGGGCTCAGCCAGGCCTGTGCGCGAAAAGCGAAGCATCGATATTTCTGGTAACGTTTGATCAGAATTATCATCATCCGAATTTTCAAGATAATCATAATAATATTCATACAACTAGTACCAGTAACGATAGTAGTAATAATAATAATAATAATAGCAATCACTGTGCTATAGGACTGCCCCTGCCAGATCTGATGAGCGG